GCCCCCAAATCGAGGACATGCTTCTGCAATGAGTAACAATACCACACACGGAAAAACTCGAGCGGGTTAATATGGGGGCCTCCGAAAGAACCCACAACTGTTCTGCTCATCAATAATGTTTTTTTTTTTTCGTTTTTTTTGAGCATCAGATATTTAACGGTAATGAATTGTTGCCATCGGTTTCTTCACATCGGAAAGAACAAACTTAAAATAGATCAAGTCATAGGAATCATAAGGGGAGCGCACGATGTCGTAATGAAAGGAACTTGTTCGGTCAACCGGCGACTGCATAAATTACATGTTCGTATCGGTCGAACAATCCAGCCCAAAACTGTAATAAATAGAGGACATCTTTGAGTTTCATCAGAGTCTTGCCTGGATGGTATTTCCATTTCGTTAATATATTCTGACTGGCTTGTTGTCATTTTAGAACTCTACAGCCATTGATCGGTCAAGAACAGCAGCGGCGGAACACGGGGGCACTCCAGGGCCGTAATCCCTCCCCTTTCCTCTACGCGCTTCAGACTATTTTACAGTCAAGTAAATGTTCAAAAATGAGCAAAAATAAAAGCACCTTCATGTACCAGACCTGACATCGAATCTCTCCGGGGATCAAGCAGGAGTGAGCACGGGATCAGCCGAACCATTCGGACCACTCATTTTGTCATCTTGCTCGTACAGATTTCGGCCCTCCTGTTTCTGGTGCCTGAGTCCCTGTCCAGCCATGACGCCGCCGTTCTCGTGAGTGAGCGGTTCCTCGGATCATCGTGTTGGCTCGCCTCGACATCGGCAGGCTGCCACCTATCTGTGGAATAATCTGCAAGCGATCTCTCCTTGTTCCCTCGACATCAACCGAGCACCGTCGGCGACACTGTCATCTAGCACATCTTCGCCGCCTACAAACGCCCATATAAGCAGCTTGGCACGTCTTCAGCCCTTGAATGAGTACGGAACCAGCCGAACCATACGGACCACTCATTTTTTCATCTTGCCTGTACAGGTTTCGGCCCTCCTGTTTCCGGTGCCTGAGTTCCTGCCCAGCCGTGACGCCGCCGTTCTCGTGAGCGGTTCCTCGGGTCATCGTGTTGGCTCGCCTCGACATCGGCAGGCTGCCACCTACCTGTGGGATAATCGGCAAGCGATCTCTCCTTGTTCCCTCGACATCAACCGAGCATCGTTGGCGACACTGTAATCTAGCACATCTGCGCCGCCTGCAAACGCCCATATAAGCAGCTTCGAACGTCTTCAGCCCTTGAGTGAGCACGGGATCACCCGAACCATGCGGACCACTCATTTTGTCACCTTGCTCGCACAGGTTGGTCCACCTCCCTCGTTATACGCTAAAAAAACAAGCAATATATGGTTCTTGCTGTTTCCGTGCACACAAGTGTTTCAAAAAACTATTTGTGACTCAGTTGATGTGGTGTTCCTTCTACTAAAAACTTCCGGAGACGTGGAATCTAATCCCGGAGTGATGAACGAGGCCCAGCTTAAACTGTTTAACGAGATGCACTCAATGCTGACAGTCGTTAACGGGCGCCCCCTTATGATGGATCAGGCTCAATCAGGTATAATTGCTACACTTAACGAAGTTAAACACAGTCAAGAATCTATCAAGGGGCCATAACAGAAATAAAAAAGAGACTGAACGAGGTTGAAAATAAGACTGCTGCAGTCCCTAATTTGCGGCTTGAAGTAACCATAGCGCGAAGTTTGGCAGAAGAGGTGCAAAAAGAGAACATAGCCCTAAGAACACGCCTAGATGATGCTGAGGATCATTCACGTCGTGAAAATTTGTTGTTTTTTTTCGGTATGGCCGACACAATTTCTGAAACATGGGCGCAAACAGAACAAACAATTCTGAACATATTTAGACAGTAGCTTAATCTACAAGTATCGGACGAAGCTATTGTTCGGGCCCATAGAATCGGTACGTTCTGTCAGAACAAATGCCGCCCAGTCATCGTCAAATTCGCGACCTATAAATTGAAAGACAACGTTCTTCTCTCAAGGGCCCCCTGAAAGCAAAACGCATAACAGTAAGCGAAGATTGGGACACGTATCGCACGAAAAAAAACTAATCGATTGCGCAAAAGAAAAAAGGCGGCACTTTTAAGCTTTGACATAACAGAATTCACATTAACAAAAATGCTCTGCTTTTAATCTGACCACCGAAACTGTGTACGAGGTTGGCCCCTCTACTACGCCGGTTGTTACTGCCCCACATATTTCCCTGCCCGCTAATGATTCATCTCAGCGATCAACATTGCAATAACAGGCCGCGAGGGGTAGAGTGTCTCTTTCACGTGTCTCTGATGTATGGGTACGTTTTACAAATATTAGAAGCCTCATTAAAAAGCGAGACGACTTGTGTTCTATTGTTGATTCAACAGCTGCTGATGTTGTTGTTTTAACGGAAACTTGGCTCACTGCGAGGGTGCGTGATTGCGAACTTTTTTATGGACCTCGAAGGTACAATATTTACAGGAACGGTCGGCAAGATAGGTGCGGTGGGGGCGTTTTAGTTGCAATTGCAAGTCATATTGATTATTTTTGTTTCAACATAGCTAGCGATTTAGAAATAGTTTGGGTATGTCTTGGTACTAATCACATGAAGTGGATCATGAGAGTTTGCTATAGGTCGCCCTCATGCTCATCATCTTTCATTAAAGCTTTGCAGGACTCCATAAATCTGGTCGTTATTCGCTTTCCCAGTTCGCCAATTTTTCTGTTGGGAGATTTTAATTATCCTGATATTGTGTGGACAGGTAATAGCCCACCAAGAGGCACACCCTCATCTGCCTCATCTGAATGCAATGATTTTGTTAGCCTCTGTTTAGATTTTTGTTTCACGCAATTAGTTACTCAACCAACCAGAGTGACCCCATTGACGGCGAACGTATTGGATATTGTTCTCGCAACTCATCCTGAACTCGTTTCACCCATCTCCTATCTTCCAGGGCTTAGTGATCATTCCATATTGCATATTAACGTAAAAGCAGCAGTACCGAAACCATCAACTGATGTAAAGTAAATTCGAGATTACGGCAAAGCTAACTTTGATCAAATTAATTTTGACCTTGCAACTTTCCTCGATGAGTATTTAGCACTCTTCTCAAGCCGCTCATCAGAAGAAAAGTGGAACTTTTTCAAAACAGAAGTTAATAAACTAACAAATCAGTACATTCCCTTGAGGACAGTTATCAAAAACTCTCAGTCACCCTGGTTCACCAGAGCCTTAAAACGCTTATCAAACAACAAAAGCATCTATTTCGAGCCGCAAAATTACCCACGTGCGAGAACCGTTGGTTGCGTTATCGTACTGCTGCTGAAGTGTACAAAAAAGCAATTGATAACGCCGAACTAGAATTCATGACTCATAGCCTACCCGCAATGTTAATCAACAATCCTAGACAATTCTGGAATACAATAAACAAAAAGACGCAGTCATATATCACACTAAAACCGCAAATGGTGATTGTATAGCCAGCGATGAGTGTTTAAATTTATTAAATAGTACTTTTGCAAATTCATTCTCTACTGATACCATGCACGACTTCCCTTCGCTAGAGAGTGCCGATTACTTGCCCATAGATCCTCTTTTTCTTGATTACGTTGGTGTCATTCGTATCATAGATAAACTCAAACTGTCATCTTCAGCAGGAGTGGACGGTATTAATCCCAAGTTTAAAAAAAAGACACTAGACAATACTCCTCAATTATTTTAACAAAATTATTTGAACAATCCATACAAGACGCCGTTGTCCCATCAGACTGGAAGGTAGGGGAGGTGGTACCCATTCACAAGGCTGGAGATAAACATTCCTTCTTAATTATCATCCGATCTCAATAACCAGCATTCCTTGCAAACTTCTTTGAACATATCATTTTTTCTCACCTCGTCAACTTCTTCGAATATAACAGCTTCTTCAACAATGCCCAACACGGTTTTCAAAAAACATTTTCATGTGGGAGGTAGCACACTTTTGGTTTAGCTGGGGCCAGGGTTGGCACTTAATTGTGATAGCTTGGCCACGACTGCCGAGCCATTTACGTCTGTATGCCAGCCTGGCGTTTCACAGTCTTTCGTTGGCCCAGAAAGCCACGGAACTGCCAGGGAACGTCTTCCGTGGTTGACCATTCAATTTCCTTGGTCATTGATGGCCAGTGTAAACAGGCCGCTGCCAGTATTTGATGTACCCTGGCTGTCTATTGATTTTCCTCGGTCAGAGATGGCCAGGGTAGCAATGCCTCACCCAAGCTTTGAGGTTCCATGGCGGTTCGCAGGAATTCCGTGGTCCGCTCAACACAAGCAAGAGCCAATATTCGGGCATGTTGCCAGATCGAAGATAGGGTGAGCCAAGGAATGTCACGGAATTGCCGCTATGCAATGTTCCGTGGCTCATGCTCGTATTTCATCGGACCCAGAATGCCCGCTGAAAGCCACTGTTACTCTATAGTTCGTTTAACTTTTTCCATATTTTTTTTAATTCGTATGAGCGTTCTTTTAAGATATTTTTGGTGCTTTGTGGCACGAGCCCTCGCACTAGAAAGCGACGTTTGAGTGCAAGAAGTCTGTTTTAGCTAGAGACATAAAAAAGAACAGTTTTCCCCACTGAAGAAGAAAAAAAAAACTTTTTGAAAACAGCTTGGATATGAACAGGCCACACCCGAAATGAACTGGTTGTAGTGGAATTGCACCGGACAAATTGGAAATCAAACTGTCAAAATGGTCGAACTCGAACTTTATAATTTTCCCGCTTTTTACCGCGGCCCATATCTACCCTGGTTTGCATGGAGAAGCCGCTTCAAGCGCAAGTGCCCGAGGCGGGGAGCCTCCCACGTGAAGTTGGAAAAGCGCGGGAAAGATCCCGCACCCACCAGATGCTCCAGATGAATCACGCGCCTGGAATGCGCCAATGTCGCGGGACCGGAGACGTTAGGTCTGTTCGATTCGCCTGAACTGGCTGAACTAGTTCAGCAGTGCAAGAACTGGCGCATTCGATTCAACCGGAAATTGCACGACCGCTGCACTGGCGCGTTCGATTCATCCTAGTTCTGAACGAGTTCAGTCCCAGTTCCGGAAATGCTTGCACCGGCTCCGAAGCCAGTTCAGCGTTCGTGCAGTAGCAGACGACGAAAGCAGACGACGAAAGCAGACGACTCTTCTCTTTTTTGCTCGCTGTGCTCGGTCATTAAAGCATGTTTGTTATACACAACAACGTAGAAACGGAAGTCTTCCCACTTGTGGACGAAAATGGTGTGCCCGTAGTGGACGGAAGCGGGATGGTGTACGTTACCGAAGGTAGGAATAAGCTCGAATTAAATACGTTAAAAATCGTAAGAGGGCTGCGTCGGCTTGCTTACGCAGCCTTGCTTACGTTTCGTGAATGACTTGCTTAAGCCAGTCATTCACCTCGCGATTATACATCGATGTTTACAATGTTCGCATTCTATTCTTTAAGACGGAGAACGAGTTACGCTCGTCTTTGCCTCTGAGCCGGACGCAGACCCAACTGTCCTGCAGCCTGCGCGTCCACCCACAACGGACGTCGACGGGCAGCTGTGGAGTGCCGCGAAGACGAAGTTCTTTATCGGCTGTTATAAGGAACTAAAAGAGCGTCTGAGAGCAAAGGGGGGTTTCAGGTATGTCTTTGTCAGGATATATTTTATAATACATGCTAATACGTAGTAAACATCATGTTTAGGACCAAACGAGCCCTTTGGCAGCAGCTGGCCGACACCGTCGTCGGAGAGTTCGGCGGCGTTGTCACCGCTGACCAGGCCGAAAACAAATGGAAGTCCTTGGAGAGAGCGTACAAGAACGCCAAATCGAAAAACAACAAGTCGGGCCACTCTAGGGTGCATTTTGAATACGAGGAGTACGTACGTTCACTAATTTTTTTATATAGGTCATCACTTGTAAACGTGCTGTTTCTGTGGTTTAGCGAGCTTCATGACATCCTTGAGAAAGAGCACCATATTTCACCAACTGTGTTGTTGGCGCCGGGAAGAGTGCTTGAAAAGGAAGGAGACACCAGGTAAGTACTTAAGAAACGTATAATCAACGTAACATAAAAAAAAAAAAAAATGTTTCAGCGCCGAGGTTGAAACCTCCCGAGGGACAGAGGCAGGACCCTCCTCCCTTGCCTTAGGGGTGGCTCCGCCCTCAAACCAGCGTGCTCCGGCCGGTACACCGAGCAAGCGAAAGAGGGAAACCGTCCTGGGCTCGCTGCTCAAGGTGTTCGCCGACATGGAGGAGAGTCGCAAGAAACGACATAAGGACCGGATGGCTCTTCTCGAGCGCCTCGTGACTGCAATCGAAAAGAGCGCGCCGGCACAGTAGACGTGCTTCATGCACCTCAATGAACTTGATTACAGTTTCACTGTTTCGCAGGCCGTTTTATTTATTCTTTTGTTATTATTTTGACTGGTGCACAAATGTGCCGTACGAATAAATTCGTTCAAATTGTCTTGCTGATTTTGTTTGCCACTCCTCTGTAGTCCCACGATTCAATCTTAGTTTTTACAATTATTTCCGAGTTTTGCAGCATGTTTTTTTTTTACCGCCATATCTAGTTTTTTTGTTTTTTTTTTATTTTAGGTTTTGTTGATTGTTAGGTTGAAAATAGCTTTAGGAACAATGTTACGTTTTAGGAGTCACTGGCACTGACTACCTGTGCATGCCCGCATATATGTATTCTGGTATACGAACGTACTAGGATATTGGATCAAAATAATACTGTACGCAGAAATGAAGGAACGAAGTAACCTGTTACTTTGTTTAATCGTGTTTTCATGAAGTCGGTACGCTTCATTTTCCAAAGCTCAAGTACCATCTTTGTATGTTCACACACACGCACACACACACACACACAAAATAAAAAAAAGAATATTTTTGGAGGATCAGGTGTAGATATCGCTTCCTAACATTCGGTCTTAGCAATGGCCTCTCGGATCCGCTCAGAGAGACTCCTTGTGGCGTCGTCCGGTTGGATCGCGTGGTCGTCGTCGTTGGTGACTTGGTCAGGCGGGCGGGCGTTGTTCAGGTCATCGAAAAAGTCTCTCTCTGCATTACAGAGGTTGTGGAGAACGCAGGCGCCCATAACGACAAGGCAGCACTGTCTGATGCTGGCGCTGTCGACCAAGTACATTCTCCGAAATCGCTGCTTGAGCAGCCCGAAAGTATTTTCGATTGTCACTCTCTGTTGACCGTGCTTCGTGTTATACGTAGTCTTCCAGGACGGCAGGGCCGCTTTTGAAGACTTGAAGGGGGTCATGACGTATGGCAGCAGGGGATAAGCCGAATCCCCCAGCAGGTACCCACCCGCACACTTGGCTTCCGCGTCCTCGAAGATGGGGCTCTCCTTCAGGATGCGGGCGTCGTGCGCTGAACCGGGGAACCCGATGTAGACGTCGATGAATTGATTTTGATCATCGCAGATACCCTGCAGGACAATGGAATGAAACTTGCTCCGATTGTAGTAGGAGTTCGGAGACTCTGTTGGTCGCAGGATTTCTACATGGCATCCATCAATCGCCCCGATCGTTTTGTGGGGCCCTTTCCCCTTAGTCTTCCTCAGGAAGCCGGCTTGGCTCCTCCGACGTCTTTCCTGGTCAGGCCAGGTGATTATTTGTGCGCTGATACTGTTCAGAAAGTTCAGAACTCTTTCAATGCAGAGGTGAACGGACGACTCCGTTATGTCAAAGCGATCCGCAATCTGGTACATTGTGGCTCTCGTGCCTACGTAACTAAGCACAATCAGCAATGTCTTCTCCGCCGAAATCTGCGGTCGTCCACCAACGGAATCCGGGTAAAACGCCGAAGCTTCATATCGACCAGCCAGCTCCGCGTGTGTCTCTCTCGAAAGCCTGAACAAGCGCATAAATTCGAAATCGAAGTAGGTGTCGATCACCTTTTCGTAGTACAGGGGAACCCTGTTCCTGTCAGTCCGTGCCGAAACAATCGAGGCGAGGGCGATGATGTCGTCGAGCTCATCGTCGCTCTCGTCTTCGATGAGCGCTACTGCAGCGGCCAGTAAATTCTGACGGGACATCGTCATCTTGATCTCGCGAAGGTATCCAGGTACGTGGTCGATGAAATGTCTATGAAAGCGATCGCAGCACGAAATCAGACGATATAAAATGCAGACATGTTTCATTAGATGCTGCACGCACTTTGTAATGTAAAGAAACATACATGGAAAATATTTTTGTAAAAAAAAGTATTATAAAACTAACGCAAATATCCAAGCGCTAGCAGACAAAATTCCATGGCGACGCAGCCAGACGGCAAAAGCAGACGACGTCTTGCGCATCCGTTTTATCGGTACTCCGGAAGTCGATCACAGCGCCAGTCCTAACGCGGTGGCTGCACTGGTTCTGCGCCGCCGCTGCACGACTCCTGCACTCCTCTGAACTCGGACAGAACTAGTTCAGAACTTTCTAGCCGAATTGAACAGACCTGATGCTGTCTCCCTGCGCGCAGCGCGAATGCCTTCAAAGAGGAGAGCTGCTCACGTGCAAGGACAGGGAGGAGTGCGCGTGCCAATCAGCGCGGCCCTCGCGTCCGTTCGAAGCGCCAGTTTTGAGACGGCGGCCGGCGCAGTTGCGAAAACAAAACAAAACAAAACAAAAAAAAAAAAAAACGGATTTGGCGTTAGTGGCACGGACTTCGGTCTTTGTTCGCGCTGCTGTTCTGCTTGGGGAGGTTACAAGTTGCTGTGTTTGAATAAGAAAGTTTCCCGGTGCCTTGAGTGCAGCCTCTGCCGATGGTTCCAGTGGTTGGTCACGTCCTCCGCCTGAGTTCCACTCGCTTGTGGGCGGAATGGTTGCATCCCAGAACGGCGTGTTCGAAATTCGCTCCGTCCTCATTGCAGCGCGGGCACTGGCTGTCTCTGTCTCGGCGCCAGCGAGCCAGGTAAGCAGGCTCGACCTTGGATTCATTTCCATAATCAGGTGCATGTGAAACTGAACCTTTTTGCAACCCAATTTGGAAGAGCCATGCTATTAATACAACCGCCAGTGTATATATTCAGCTTCAGAGATCCTCTACCGCAATGGTTAACCATTATGGTAGAGTATCCTGCTGTTGTTGCCCCTTCCTGCCTTCCTAGTCTGTCGTCCGCTATGCAACGTAAAGGCTGAACCGGATGTAAGTGATTAAGCGAGTGACGAGAGTCAGCGACGAGCGGCGGAGATTTCCCACGGTCGCTTGTCGCATCGTTCGGTTTTTGGATTTCTAGAAATCGTCGCTCATCGCCTTGGTCACTTGCTACCGTCGCACTCATGCGGTTTGCCGCATGAATGCGCCAGTGACCGAACGACAGTGAAGCGGATCGTCGTCGCTTGTTTCGTGGCTCGTCAAATCGCTTACATGCGGTTTCTGTTTAATTGCCGCGAGACTGGCACCATATGTACGATTGGCACACGCTTCCATATTCCCTCTCCTACTGTTTATGATAGTGCATATTTTTTATTAGTGGCATTAGTTACATGCCGTTTTAGAACAGAGGGGGGCAAATAAATCTGTCATGGTTCTAATTACTTATGTTTATTCTTTTTTCAGATGCCTTGGAGTACTATGTTTGCCACTACCAGAACCCCGACACTCATGAAGATGTGGAGAATCTCGCCAACCGCCTGGGACACATGTATAATACCATGCCAGTTTTTTTTTTTTTGCATTGTACATATGTTTTTATGTTTATTTTGGCGGCCTGCAGTATGTATTATTTGTGAAAATAAATTGAATTTTATTAATTTACGACGTGTGTTGTCAGTATGACCAGTTAAACTGGTTTAACTGCATGGTGAATTTCTACTGTCTAGCCAAGCTTGGCTGACCACCCAGCCACTAACCTGGCCCATGCTGTATACACAATAAAGAGCCAAGCTTGGCGTACCACGGAGCTTCCCGCCATTTCGCTTGATGGCCCAGGCCATCAGGCGAAAATTTTCATTAGCCCCTGTCTCACTGAAATTAACTCTTTACAAAGTTTTAATTCGTCCCAAGTTAGAATATGCGGCTTCTGTCGGGGATCCCGGACTAGTCACTCTCGTATCTACATTGGAAGCCGTTCAGAACAGATCCGCTTGTTTCATCCTCAAAAACTATCACCACACCGCTAGCGTCACCTCTATGAAAACAACTCTCTCGTTACCACCTTTATCACTACGTCGTAAAATTTCTCGTCTTTCCCTATTCCATAAAATGTATCACCATAACTCTTTCCTGCGCTACAAAATAATTGCTCGGCCTGTCTATGTTTCCTCCCGCCTTGATCATGAACATAAGGTGGGCATTCCTAACTCTATCACAACCACGTTACATTCATATTTCGTTCCCCGTACATCCCAGGAGGGGAACTACCTTCCCCGGTCGATCGCCATTATCACAGACTCTGAGCTCTTTAAAAGTACAATAACTAATTACTTTATTACTGAGTGTGTCTAATATATATGATGTTATTTGCATTAACCTTCTCGTTGCTCTCCCCCTCTGTAATGCGTTCGGGCCCTGAGGGTATAATAAATGAAATGAAATGAAAGGTAGAGCCACGACGAATTATGGGACGTCAGTGTGTCTGGCTTGCCTTAGAAAACTTTCTTTGCCTAGTGGATAAAGAGTGGCAAGTGGTAGTAAGTGTGTGGAAGGAGAGAGGGAGTCCCCTTCCCTCCTTCCAAAATATATGTGTACCAACGTTACTAGATTACCTCAGTTGTGAAACTTCAGCTAAGGGGGCATTCCTCTCACTCCGTTCAGTCCACCTCCAGACAAAACAAAGCAAACAGCACGGCTTTCCTTTTCGTCTCCTCGCTGTTGTCTCCTTCTCTTAATGCCATGTGTTTGGGACATGGGGGCCCGATGAAAACAGCAGAGGCCTTCACCACTGACAGCATAGCGTGTGAGTGACTGTCCAGACCCGCGACCTAAGAACCAGCACAA